GCTCCTGCAGAGTGCCAAAGCTTCTATAGAGTGCCAAAGCTCCTGCAGAGTGCCAAAGCTTCTGCAGAGTGCCAAAGCTCCTGCAGAGTGCCAAAGCTCCTGCAGAGTGCCAAAGCTCCTGCAGAGTGCCAAAGCTCCTGCAGAGTGCCAAAGCTCCTATAGAGTGCCAAAGCTCCTGCAGAGTGCCAAAGCTTCTGCAGAGTGCCAAAGCTCCTGCAGAGTGCCAAAGCTTCTATAGAGTGCCAAAGCTCCTGCAGAGTGCCAAAGCTCTGCTGCTGCCAAAGCTTCTATAGAGTGCCAAAGCTTCTGCAGAGTGCCAAAGCTCCTGCAGAGTGCCAAAGCTTCTGCAGAGTGCCAAAGCTCCTGCAGAGTGCCAAAGCTTCTATAGAGTGCCAAAGCTCCTGCAGAGTGCCAAAGCTTCTGAGTGCCAAAGCTTCTATAGAGTGCCAAAGCTTCTGCAGAGTGCCAAAGCTCCTGCAGAGTGCCAAAGCTCCTGCAGAGTGCCAAAGCTTCTGCAGAGTGCCAAAGCTCCTGCAGAGTGCCAAAGCTTCTATAGAGTGCCAAAGCTCCTGCAGAGTGCCAAAGCTTCTGCAGAGTGCCAAAGCTCCTGCAGAGTGCAGAGTGCCAAAGCTCCTGCAGAGTGCCAAAGCTCCTGCAGAGTGCCAAAGCTTCTATAGAGTGGCCAAAGCTGCAGAGTGCCAAAGCTCCTGCACCAAAGCTTCTGCAGAGTGTCAAAGCTCCTGCAGAGTGCCAAAGCTTCTGCAGAGTGCCAAAGCTCCTGCAGAGTGCCAAAGCTTCTGCAGAGTGCCAAAGCTTCTGCAGAGTGCCAAAGCTCCTGCAGAGTGCCAAAGCTCCTGCAGAGTGCCAAAGCTCCTTCAGAGTGCCAAAGCTCCTGCAGAGTGCCAAAACCGGCTGTCAATTTGGCGTCCCCTTAAAACCTCTTGTCGATTTTTGGTTTAGAGAAATACCGGTTTAAATGTTTGGGCGTCTTAAAACAACTTATTTAGAATATTTGTGTTGTTTAGATACAGAAGTTTAGTTCTCTAAAGTCTATGTTGTCAAATATTACTGCCACATGGAACACATTGTCAAATATTACTGCCACATGGAACACATTGTCTAATATTACTGCCACATGGAACACATTGTCAAATATTACTGCCACATGGAACACATTGTCAAATATTACTGCCACATGGAACACATTGTCAAATATTACTGCCACATGGAACACATTGTCAAATATTACTGCCACATGGAACACATTGTCAAATATTACTGCCACATGGAACACATTGTCTAATATTACTGCCACATGGAACACATTGTCAAATATTACTGCCACATGGAACACATTGTCAAATATTACTGCCACATGGAACATATTGTCAAATATTACTGCCACATGGAACACATTGTCAAATATTAGTGCTACAAAGTACAGTGCCACAGAGGCATGTCCCCTCCGATTTGAACGTACATGTTGGAGGTTTAAGCTGAAATTTGTGAACCTATACCTATGGTTATATTTATATATCATGTGGAGCTAATGAACTCCTTGTTATTATGCTAACCCCAAATACCCCACCACCCTCCCCGCCCCCCTCCCCTTCTCGTCATAGTATAAGCACACCCCACAACCCCATTCAGAGCGGATATGATCACTACATACAAGGTTGACAAGAAGTGCCTTTTTAAGTTGAACGGGAAAGTTGAAGGAGAGAACATGGCAGAAGCGGGAAAGGTAATTAGTCAAATATAAGGAACCTATATAAGGCTAATTAAGGCTAAAGGAACCTATATAAGGATAATTAAGGCTAAAATAAGGCTAAAGAACCTATATAAGTTTAATTATTAATATCATTATCGACAAAATAAATCAACCAACTTTGCCTAAACAGAGTAACTCAGGTCTTACTGATGATGCTTAACAAGGGCAGTACAGTGTTGCTAGACAAAGTCATGTGGGAGGATTGTTCCCTGCTACAGGCAGAACACGGGCAGTAGGAGCTCCTACCTTTCCCCGTAGTCACTTATAGGTAAGCACACTCCCACTTAGGCAATAACGAGGGGGGGGGGGCTATGTTGGCGGTATCATTATTGTTCTGTGTTCCATTAAGTTGGCAGGAGTTGTATTTTTAATACCTGCTTTAATACCTGCTTACCTGTTGACGGGGTTCTGGGAGTTCTTCTGCTCCCCCAAGCCCGGCCCGAGGCCAGGCTTGACTTGTGCTTCATACTAATTTATTTCATAATAATTTGTTGTATTGACAACAAAGGAATAAGGGAAACTGCAAAAGGCATATTTGTCCATCTGAGACAGATCAGATTTATAACCACCCAAACTCATTCATGTGTCTAGCCTGCGCTTGAAACAAGCCAATGGATATTGTGAGTTATTGTAACATAAGAGATGTGTGATGCTTCTCTATCGTGTGTCTCTTATTTATTTAAATAGCAATGTAATTATTGAGAAAATCCGTAGGAGCTGTGACGGGGATTCGAACCCATGCGCTGAGTATTCCCAGGTACACACACGCCCCAGACAACCAGCCCACGACATGCTCGAACCCTCAGCGAGTAATTATTGTTATCTTGCTCGTGGTTTAATACACGAGGGAGGCGATGATGAGCGCTGAGGAGTGGAACACCGGACCACCGCTCCCGGACCCCACTCAACACTACAAGTCTAGCACTTGTGATAGTGAGTGTTGCTGAGTAGGCTGCGTGATACGCTTACAACACCCCCCAAGTTATTAAACGGACCCTTGGAACATGAAGAGGTAATTCAGCTGAACAAATTCTTGCGTCCCCATCTGGACATTGTGCGTCACTATCTGGACATTGTCCGTCACCATCTGGACATTGTGCGTCACTATCTGGACATTGTCCGTCACCATCTGAACATTGTCCGTCACCATCTGGACATTGTGCGTCACCATCTGGACATTGTGCGTCACTATCTGGACATTGTCCGTCACCATCTGGACATTGTGCGTCACCATCAAACAGTTCAACGCGGAGCAAGAAAAATAATCTTGGAAGAAAGTCGACCTTCTTGCCAGGAATGGTTGAGGGCCACAGCACTAACAACCCAGCAAACCAGACATGACAATGCTCAGCTCATCAAACCAGGCATGACAAGGCTTAGCTCATCAAACCAGACATGACAAGGCTCAGCTCATCGACATTTAAAACACTGAACAAATAGTGTAACACCACTATAAAATATAAACTAATATAAGTATGTATACACTACTACTTATCCTGAGTAACACTTCCTATCGGTTGCACTTGGTAACACTGTTATTGTACACTGTAATATGAGCTGACATATGATGGTTACACCGGAACCAAGGGTACACTGCCAACAAGGAAATGCTACACAGGATTAAAAAAAAAATGCTGCCACCATCTTCCTTGACCATTGAGACTATATCAAGCAACGAGGCAAGAAACATTGCTTGACTTGGAGAGTACTTTCTATGACTGTCAGTAAGTATGGAACGGTTGTCAGCCACTATATCCAAAAGGCTAAGAGGATTCAACAATTGACACAGACGGGAAATTTAACACGAGTTTATTGAGAACAAAATTATGCTAATCACCAATTATAAATCCTACTCTAACACTGGCCAAGAGTTAAGAAATTTAGACGTGGAACAAAACCTCAGAGATCACACACATTACCTTAAGACCTCTGTCTCTCCATCCGGTGGATTCACTCTGTCTCTTCCAGGCTGTGAGATGTTCTTCACAGACCCACTCTGGACCCAGGTGTCCAGCACACTCTCCCAACTAAGTCTCTACAGGACCAATATATACGCCCCAAAAGGGGGGGAGGGGGAGATTTGCTGTTGCTACCTAAACCAAAAATGCAAGGGGGTCGGGCCACACGTGCACAAACACTTAAGAATTTTTCAGTTAAGCTTATTTGACATTTACCATACACTCTTCAAGAGAGGAGTTATTAATTACGTGTGTGACTGACCTCTGACCTGGCCAAAAGGGGGAGATCCAGGGATGTTTACACATAGGAATCTGGGGTCTAATTCCATTGTAATGTTTGACAAGTGCATCATGAAATATTACATACTTGAAACTAGCTGACTAAGACTAACCCAGGAATTTTTTAATCAACATACAAGATGAACCGGAGGTCATCTGGGCTGACCTCTTGGAGAAGGCTTCCCTGGGTGTGAACTCTAAGGGGGGGGGGGGAGGTCATGGGTGTTAAAATAGGAAAATCTACTCTGCTTGTTTTAAAGATCAAACACAACACATAAAATGGAGAACAGCTTCAAGCTTAACAAACCACAATACAAGACAGAAAGCATGAGATGCTTTTCTTACCAACTGCTTATATACCTCTTGTGATTAATTGGTGGGACCTTTGACAAGCCACAGGCACAGGACTTTATTTAGTCCCAACTAAAGATTGTGGTCCCTCAGGTAAATTCAGAAGAAATAAAATAATTTTGTAGTATCAAAAGAGTACATACAGTAAGGCTATAATAGTTAAGTATATTGATGGTATAGTGTTAGTTTAGTACATTGTTTCAACTTGCAACTCCGTCAATAATGTTGCTGTTTTGCATAATCAGGAACGACTCTGATTATGCAAATCGGATGTTGCTTGAGTTCGGACTCGAGCAACCCTACCCCCCCCCTGACCTGTAGTATGGTAATAGAGTGGTAATACATTACTCACTGAGGTTGGTGTATACATAGTCTTGAGTATACATGATCGCAGCTCAGAACAGTTGCACGTGTCTGCCTATTTGATTATGGTGTTATTGTAACACCGCTCTTTTGTACCGCCACTATAATGTGTACCACTATAATGGAACGCCACTAAAATGGAACACTACTTATCCTGAGTAACACTTCCCCATTGGTTGCACTTGGGTAACACTGTTATGAGCTGACATATGATGGTTACACCGGAACCAAAGGTACACTGCCAATAAGGAAATGCTACACAAGGATTAAATACGCTGCCACCATCTGCCTTTGACCATTGAGACTATATCAAGCAACAAGGCAAGAAACATTGCTTGACTTGGAGAGTACTTTCTATGACTGTCATTAATTATGAAAACGGTTGTCAGCCACTATATCCAAAAGGCTAAGAGGATTCAACAATTGACACAGACGGGAAATTTAACATGAGTTTTATTGAGACCAAAATTATGTCAATCACCACTTATACATCCTACTCTAACACTGGCAAAAATTTAAGTAATTTGGACATGGAACAAAACCTCAGAGATCACACACATTACCTTAAGACCTCTGTCTCTCCCTGGCTGAGGTGTTCTTCACAGCCCTCTCTGGACCCCGGTGTCCGGCACTCTCTGCTCCCTTTAGTCCCTACAGGACCTCTATATACAACCCCCACAGGGGGAGGGGGAGATCTGCTGTTGCTACCCACCAAGAGTGTACAAACACTCAAGAAATATTTCCATAAGCTTGTTTGACATTCACCATACACTCTTCAAGAGAGGAGTTATTAATTACGTGTGTGGCTGACCTCTGACCTGGCCAAAAGGGGGAGATCCAGGGATGTTTACACATAAGAATCTGGAGTCTAATTTCCTTGCATGAAATATTACATACTTGAAACTATGCTGACTAAGACACCCAGGAATTTTTTTTTAATCAGCATACAAGATAAACCGGAGGTCATCTGGGCTGACCTCTTGGAGAAGGCTTCCCTGGGTGTGAACTCTAAGGGGGGGGGGGAGGTCATGGGTGTTACATTATTTGCTGCTTTTAATTAAGTGGTTTTATAAGAAAATCAAATTGTTATTGTGTCGAAGGATTCATCATGAAGTTGATAGTTGGAGTTGATTAACGTTAAGAGTGCACATCTTGTCTTGCGTATTAATGTTGCTGGCAGCCAGTTTTGATTGATTACTTCGACTGCCTTGCAACAAAATGTAAGAAATGCAACTTTATGCTCTTAGTAAAAGTTTTAAGTTCTACTTTAAGACAAGTCTTCTCAGATTGTTAATCACAACTCAAGACAATTATTCAAGACTTCAACTCGCTAATGTAAGTTGACCAGACCACACACTAGAAGGTGAAGGGACGACGACGTTTCGGTCCGTCCTGGACCATCTCTGGTCCATTCTCAAGTCGATTGACCACAATCGACTTGAGAATGGTCCAGGACGGACCGTCGTCCCTTCACCTTCTAGTGTGTGGTCTGGTCAACATTAGCCACGTTATTGTGACTCATCGCCCGCAACTCGTCAATGTTGTTTATAAAGTTTTTGTCACTAATGTTGACTTTTTGTGTCCTTGCAGGTCCGTCATATTCGCCGCGACGGCGTCCTTGCTGTGAGGTCTCGCAAGAACTCCCTTAGTCGCTCTAACAATCATCTCAACGCCAACCATACCCTGCCGCCCACGCCCGCCCACACAGCACCCATCACCACCCACAATCTCCCGCCCACTACCGCCACCCATCTCTCACCCGTGCGCCCACCTCTCACCACCTACTCACCACCCACCACCACCCACGTCGACAGCGAGGGCGGGGAGACTCACTCACGCCTACAGGAAACTCATGAAAGAGATCAACCTAATCACCTCCACCAAGGTGAACAAAAGCAGCAGCAGCAGCAGCGGCTCAAGGAACAACAACAAATAGAAGAGCATCAGCTTCCCCAAGTCAGAGTACAGCTGCACCCCGTGAAGGAAGAGCAGCTTCAGCGACATAGACAACCCCTGGAGGAGCAGCACCCACGCCTCTCCCAGGACCACCAACTAGAAGAACACCAACAGGTCAGACAGCGGCCCAAGCAAGAGTGCCAACAAGAAAAGAAATTGAAGCAAGAGAACCAGCAAGAACAGCGGCTGAAGCAAGAGAACAAGCAAGAACAACAGCTGAAGCAAGAGAACCAGCAAGAACAACAGCTGAAGCAAGAGAACCAGCAAGAACAACAGCTGAAGCAAGAGAATCAACAAGAACAGCGGCTGAAGCAAGAGAACCAGCAAGAACAGCGGCTGAAACAAGGGAAAACCAGCAAGAACAGCGGCTGAAGCGAGAGAATCAACAAGAACAGCGGCTGAAGCAAGAGAATCAACAAGAACAGCGGCTGAAGCAAGAGAATCAACAAGAACAGCGGCTGAAGCAAGAGAATCAACAAGAACAGCGGCTGAAACAAGAGAACCAGCAAGAACAGCGGCTGAAACAAGAGAACCAGCAAGAACAGCGGCTGAAGCGAGAGAATCAACAAGAACAGCGGCTGAAGCAAGAGAATCAACAAGAACAGCGGCTGAAGCAAGAGAATCAACAAGAACAGCGGCTGAAGCAAGAGAATCAACAAGAACAGCGGCTGAAGCAAGAGAATCAACAAGAACAGCGGCTGAAGCAAGAGAATCAACAAGAACAGCGGCTGAAGCAAGAGAACCAGCAAGAAAAGAAATTGAAACAAGAGAATCAAGAGGAACAACAGCTGAAGCAAGAGAACCAACACGAAAATAAATTGAAGAAAGAGAATCAACAAGAACAGCGGCTGAAACAAGAGAACCAACAAGTACAACGGTTGAAACAAGAGAACCAACAAGTACAACGGTTGAAACAAGAGAACCAACAAGTACAACGGTTGAAACAAGAGAACCAACAAGTACAACGGTTGAAACAAGAGAACCAACAAGTACAACGGTTGAAACAAGAGAACCAACAAGTACAACGGTTGAAACAAGAGAACCAACAAGTAAAACGGTTGAAACAAGAGAATCAACAAGAACAGCGACCAAAGCAAGAGAATCAACAAGAACAGCGGCCAAAGCAAGAGAATCAACAAGAACAGCGACCAAAGCAAGAGAACCAACAAGAACAGCGGTCAAAGCAAAACAGCCAACAAGAAAATAAATTGAAACAAGAGAACCAACAAGAACAGCAGCTGAAGCAAGAGAATCAGCAAGAACAGCGGCCAAAGCAAGAGAATCAACAAGAACAGCGACCAAAGCAAGAGAATCAACAAGAACAGCGGCCAAAGCAAGAGAATCAACAAGAACAGCGGCCAAAGCAAGAGAATCAACAAGAACAGCGACCAAAGCAAGAGAATCAACAAGAACAGCGACCAAAGCAAGAGAATCAACAAGAACAGCGGCCAAAGCAAGATAATCAAGAAAAGCGGCCAAAGCAAAACCAGCAAGAACAGCAGCCGAAGCAAGAGAGCCAACAAAAACAGCGACCAAGGCAAGAGAACCAGCAAGAACAACGACTGCAGCAAGAGAAACAAGGCAGAGACCCACGTCTGGCAAAAAGCAAGGAAAAACATTTAAAAGAGAAACATCTGCAGCAAGAGAACCAACAAGAACAGCGGCTGCAGCAAGAGAACCAACAAGAACAGCGGCTGCAGCAAGAGAACCAACAAGAACAGCGGCTGCAGCAAGAGAACCAACAAGAACAGAGGCTGCAGCAAGAGAACCAACAAGAACAGCGGCTGCAGCAAGAGACCCAACAAGAACAGCGGCTGCAGCAAGAGAACCAACAAGAACAGCGGCTGCAACAAGAGAACCAACAAGAACAGCGGCTGCAGCAAGAGAACCAACAAGAACAGCGGCTGCAGCAAGAGACCCAACAAGAACAGCGGCTGCAGCAAGAGAACCAACAAGAACAGAGGCTGCAGCAAGAGAACCAACAAATAGAACAGAAGCAACATAAACAAATCCCAGATCAAGTAAGAGAACAGCCGCACCAAGATAAATCTAAAACAAATGAACTACTACAGAATGAAGCTAAAGAGAAAGTCGAGTATCAGCAAAATCAAAACAAATCACATTTGAAAGACAAACAAGTCAAACCTGAGAAGGAAAACAAGAAAGAGCTGCAACTACAAAAAGTCGACCAAATAAAGCAACAGCAGCTACGACAAGTAAGAATACAATTGCAACAAGTTAAGCAACACCAAATTAGACAAGAAAAGGAACTTTTGAAAGAACATCACTTGCAACAAATTAAAAAACAATTTCGCCAAATAAAAGATCACGAGCAACATGGAAAGATACAACAGCTGCAACAGAGAGAGCATCAGCAGCAACAGGTAAAGAAGCAACAGCTGGAAGAACGGCAGAAAGAATTCAAGAAAGACCTGCAACAGAGGGAGGAACTACAAAAAACAACCGAACAGCTTCAGCAAGGAAAGAAGCACACGCAGGCGCACATTGAGAACCACTCCACGCAGTCAAGTAGACTCGAACTACAAGAAGTACCTAGTAAACAGGAGGAGGACAGTGGTCCTCGAGAGGTAGAACTCCAAGCACAACATACAAAGGAGCAAGGAAAAGAACAGTTACAGCCGCATGTAAAGCAACCAACATCTCCAGACTTGGAGGACAGTCCAAGGAAACAAGAGCGACAAGAAACAAAGGAGGAACCACCTTCGTTGCCAAGAGAAAATAAGTCAGAGCCGTTGACGGCAAAAGAACCCGAATCAGAGAACACAGATCAGCTGCCACGAAAGTTTAAGCTTCAGTTATCTAGACAGCTGAAGGTACAGCTGTCGAGACAGATCAAAGACCAGCTGCCCCAACAGGTCAAAGACCAATTGCCTCAGCAAATCAAAGAGCAAATATCTAGACAGGCGAAGGAACATTTGTCCAGACAAGCTAAGGAAAACTTAGCGAAGCAGGACGCGGAACTTCGGGTCAGCTGCGAGCCGCAACACCTACAAGAGAAGCCGTCGGATCCGAGGAAAGAAGGGCTTCCAGCGCAGTCGAAGTCACAGCCGTCGACGATACAGCAGAGACGATCGGCGGGAAAGCAACAGCAGACGGCCAGGAAGAGAACAGCACCGCCCGATAGGAAGAGGAGACCACCACAAGAACCACCAGAAAAACCGAGGACAGCAATTCAGGTAAGTGTAGCAGGATGGTGCTCTGACACGCATGAGGTAGCTCTCTCTCTCTCTCTCTCTCTCTCTCTCTCTCTCTCTCTCTCTCTCTCTCTCTCTCTCTCTCTCTCTCTCTCTCTCTATCTCTC